CTACAACACGTTTGCTTTTGATTCTTGCTCTTTCTTCTTTTCCAGGACCACATGTCCCTTTGGATCACGAAGCTGCCTCCAGACAGTGAGATGTCCTCAGGCCAGCATCTTGCTCCCAAGTGTACCTGGCTGGCAGGTTTGGTGGACTCATCTCAAGGCCATCTCCATTGTTATAACCTGCTTTCCACAGGAGTAGAAGCAGCAATACCCATGCCGTGAGGGGGTGGAGTCAAGAGACCTCTCTGATCTCCAAGGTCATGGGTCCGTCCACTGGGAGTCAACTCAAGCACACCTACTAATTAAACTAACAAGGAAGACTGACTAGGCTGAAAAAACAGGGCCTGTCAGGCAATTCGTCCCTGAATTCTAGACTCCTTACTTATAACCGTTTGGTTGTCGATTAAAAGGGACTTTGAAGTCATTAAACCTTTATCCCAGGTAGCATTTTTTTGTGAGTGGGTGCCGGTTTTCTCCTCAAATCTTAAATCTTTTTAGTACCTGATAGTGAAGAATATTGGTAGCCTTAAAAGTATAAGGCAGTTGCTTTTTCAAACGTGTTTGCCTCACTAAAGTGGTTCATTACTCACACCCTTCCTACCGCTGGAGCCTCTCATCAGCCCCACTGACCACCATCCCTCCTCCCCCTTACTTCTAGAAGGGCAGTTTCATTCATGTACTCTTTGAATAAAAATGCTGGCAAAGTTACCTTGTTTTCAGTCCTACCAAGCTCAAATGCTAAGTTTGCCTGTTTTCCCCCCAACAAGAAGAATAACACATCACTTTTTCTCCCCTCATTTTAAAAGTAATGTGTGTTCACTGCAATCAACCAAACCACACGATACATAAAAGTATGAACGAGAAAGTGACAGTCTCCTGTAATTTTATTTCCTAGAGGGAGACATGGTTATTAATCGGTTTGTTTTTTGGAGCTTTCAAAATCCCACCTGGCCAAACATCTCTGCCGTGGCTGTCTGCTTCTTTTCACTCCTGGTCAGGCCCACCTCCTTGAGCCCCACAAGTTATTTCCGTGGCTTTGCTCATGGCATTCAACCTTCTGTAATTTACTCCGCCTTCTCCTCCACCCATCTGACTTATCTCCAATTTAAAAATTCTAGTTCAAGTCTTTCCTGTGGCATGAAGCCTTCTAAAGCCTCACCGGTGTATAGAATTTGAACTCTGGGCTACACAATTCAACCACATAAATGTCTCTTTCTGATGCTACTCCATGTCTCTACCTAGACCATATACTGCCAGGGAACTGAATTATGCCTTATGCTTTTTTAGAGCCTACCGACACAGTGGGCAATTATAAATGTCTGTAAGATAAATTTATATGAATAAATAAATGGTTAATTGAGTGGCTTCTTTTAAATTGAGTAAAACTTCTTATTTGATGCATTTCATTTTTTATAGTTTCCAAACCTATAGGCCAGTGATAATTGACATGGATATCCTGAAAATGCTTTTAAATCTCCCCTACACCTTTTCCCAGACTATCTATGAGGTTTAGATGCCAATTAAGACACAGGATTCCCTCTTGGTTCCCCACAAAGCTGATGAGTGGCTGGGCCATTGTTCACTTCCCTCTCACTAAGCTGTTTCCCTTCTGTAATTCACATCATCCACGATGGCTAGAATGATGACATAACCATAAACCAGTGCTCAAGCTCCTGGTTGTTGCTTAAGTGTCCAGCTGCTAAATGTCCTTGTGTGCCATCTTGGTGCAGAATATTTTGATTACTTTAACAAAGGTTCTGATTCAGTCAAGGGCCGTGGAAGCCTCCATGGCATTGAGGATCAACGTCCTGGGACTCCAAGCAGGAGCTCATGTGAAAAAGCAAGTGAACAGCAGTGGCCAGGACGGAGGCAGGTTTACTGTCCCACAGACATTG